ATAAATGTATATTCTAATACTAAGGATTTTTTTATGTAAATTATTATTCGTATATAACTTTATATATGCAAATAAAATCATTAATATGTGTACATGCATGTTAATGTAATAAAGGAGTCGGTTCATGAAAATACTTATATCTATGCATGTATTATATGTAGATACAAGTTATGGATGGACCTTATAATCATATGACAAAGGGTATAACAAAAAAATGAAACATAAAATACATATGTATACCTAAATAGGTAGCAATACTCGAAAAATGCAACATGTATACACCAGAACTACTTCTTTTCACTTTCCACTTCTTTTAAATACTAGTTGCACTTATACCACTTCAAATTACCACCAAGTTAGGGGCTAAAACTAAAGTCAACACCTATGGGTACTTTCCCTCTTCCCTCATACGAATTCTAGTCCTTTCCCTAGTGATTTTCATGCACAAGTATACTTATAGTACAAGTATTATGAAGGGTTGGTTGCATTGCTTTTATTAGTAAACAAAGAAGTATTCAAATGATGAAAATAAGGACAAATGGAGTACTTAAAATGGCTCACACACTGTTTCTCACACTCCCTCACAATCCCTCGGCAATGCAGAACTCCAAACCTTTAGTAGAGAACTCAGCCAAGAAACAATCCTCTCTCTTCCTTCTCTCTTTCTGCCATCGAACTGAAGCAAAAACACCTCACCGGAGGTGTTTTGTTGGTTGTTTCCGGCGAGAAAAGGGCAGCACCCCTCCGGTTTTCTTCCCGGTTTTGCAGCGCATCGAGCCAGCCAAACCCTCTGTAGTTGTCGTTTTCTTCTGCCCACCTGTTTCTCTCGCTTGCAGTCACTGAAGCAGGAAGAAGAAGGGGCGACAAGGCTGCCGGAGCGACCTCCTGCCACCCTGTTGCCATCGACAGCCACCTGGGTTGTTTTGGGTGCAACAACCGGGTCTTGAGTGAAGCAAAGATTCTTCTGAACTCTCCCTCTAAACATGAGAATCACCCACCAAATGTGAGTCTTTATGGCCCATTTTTTATGTTTTCAATCACTTTGGGGGAGATACATACTTGAATTTTTATGATAAAAATTGATGTTAAGGAGTTCATAATATGAATGTATGTGTAGTTTGTGTCACAGATTACAAATCACAATGGTTATATATGTCACAAATAACTGTCAAAAATATAAGGATATGCTAAAAACCATATATTTTGTATCCGTTAAGTTAATAGGTCTTATATATCATGAGATATCAAGATAAGACTTGTAAAAAAAAATTATGATTTGGAAAAGAGTTCAAGTTTTTCTATGAAAACCGGTATAAAATGATGTATTTTAGTAAATCAAATACATTATAGGATACCAAAAACGATAAAGCATTTTAGTGGGCAAAATGACAATTTGACATATTAGCTTTAGTTGGGAAATGATCAAATAAAAGTATACATAAATCGTATAAGCTCATATTTTGGGTAAGAAAACAACTCACAAGTATATATATACTAAAGTATAATACGAATTCCTATTGTATATGTATTTTCTATGATTAAGGTTCCTTCCGAAGGAAAATAATATAATTTTGACAAAAATAAAGTTAAAATATAACAAAATTGAGTTAGCGTGATAAACGGTCAATACTCGCATTACCGGTATATTTGAGTTAATCGATTATGTGAATGGAATGATCTCACGATCGATTGAAATATGAAACTACTCAAATTACAACCGACACAATATTCGAACGCTAAGTTAAATTCACTATTTAACTATTTTCACTAAGTTCTAAAAATCTTAATAATCTAATATTCGAGTTAGTGACCATAGCAAGCAACAGATTGGTTGTCCGATGAAAAGTGTCATGGAGTTTGGGGTTAGATCACGTGTGTGTGTGAGGATTTTCGAAAGGGGTGAAAGATGGAGTTTTATGTTGGGGTGTTTTCGTCCCTTATGATCAAAATCCTAGAATCAATCCCTACGCTATAATTGTTAATCCAGGAGGGGTCTTATACTGTAAATCTATGCACATGGTATAGATTTATAATAAAGAACTTTGGTGTTGATTTATTATGTATGGAAAGATTTATGCGGGTCGATATTCCCCGTCTGTGGTTGCTAGCTACAACTTCGTCTGACGAGACAACAGGCGTCAAGTATTTCTTTCTTTGTTACTTTACGGCTATTTTGAAACGTTAGTAATGATCCTGATTCCTCTTTTAATTGTGCCCTTGTGGTCCGGAACGCCAATAGTGTCGGTTATAGGATAATTTTAGATTGGATAGACATATTCTGGAGAAACATAAGACTATGGTGAGATAATCCTCTCAATTTGGACCGGATGTCTAAGATTGTTTAAATTAGTAACTAAATCTTTATTATGACATAACTCTTCGTAAACGGATAGGGTCCAAACAATAAATTTTCTAGGAAAAACTAAACCTAGTCGTTGAAATCATATGAGTAGTAAAAAAATATTTTTATAACTTACCGGTTGTTAAAAAGTATTTCGATTTATTAAAAATACATGGAGTCAAAAGAAAACCTATAAAGCTCACCAACATTGTTGACGTATTTTCAAAAGACTAAACTGCACAAATGGTCCCTGTGGTTTGCTTAAAATTGTCACTTTTGTCCAAAAAGGTTTTGACTAGCACTACAGGTCCAAAGTTTTCATTTTGTTGCTAGTTTGGTCCAGCTTGCTTTGAACTTTTTCATAATGATGATTTTACCCTTACTTTTTTCTTTTTTAGTTTTTTATTTATTTAAATATTTTTCTATTCAAAGGAAAAATAAAAAAATTGCATTTTCTATTTTATTTTTTATAATTTTTTATAAAGGAAAATAAATAAATAAATAAAATACTCTCTCTCTCTCTCTCTCTCTCTCTCTCTCTCTCTCTCTCTCTCTCTCTCTCTCTCTCTCTCTCTGGCATAAGAGCACAATTCCTCTTCTTTCATCGTAACAAAAAAAATCACTTATCTAAAGAAAATAATTAATCACCATAGCAAGTCCTGAATCCCACCCTTCCATACATCGATTCATCACGAGTTCATCATCTACATGTACGTTTTGCTTTTTTGCAACCCCTGCTTGTAATTTCTATTGGTTTAGACTAAAAGACTTCAAAAATCACCCCCTTTCCCCTTCGATTTTGGTTTTCAGGGCTAAATGAGAAGAGTACATGGAATCGGAGATGGAGAGATGGGGTTGTTGTGCGCCGATCGAACAAACCCACACACATGAGGGTTTTTGTGTGTTGGTAATTAAATCAAACATACTTGTTGTTCAAAATCGATCTTCCGGTGAAAGGAAAAGGGCGTCAACGGTGAAGAAGGCGCTAGGCCTCAGATTTGTGCAGATGACGAACTTTCGATCTGTTGATTGGTCTCCGATCTTCTGATTCGTCTTACCACCTCCCTATTATCATATATGTAAGAGAGATAGCGCTCCAACTTAGATGTGTGAGAGATAAAGAGAAGAAAAATGGTGTTACTGTCGGATCTAGGATGACGCCATTGTTTTACAGATGTAGGTGTTGACCGACGGTGGCGGTAGTTGTTATGTTTGCAGGTGGTTGTATTGGTTACTGATAAGTGTGTGTAAAAGATGAAACAGATCTGGAAGATAAGAGAGAAAAAGAGATCGACTGAGAAAGTAGTGGTGACTGAGAGAACGATGGCTGACAGTAGTGACGACAGTGGCTGACGGTGGTATGCTAGCGTTCATATCTTCCGACAAATGGTGGTGCGTCGCCGTTTATATGAGAATGGAAGATGGGGTTGTAGATTTTAGGGAGGGGAGAGAGAGAGAGAGAGAGAGAGAGAGAGAGAGAGAGAGAGAATATTTTATTTTTATTTTTATTTTTTATTTTTTTTAATTGTTGTAATAAAAGAAAAATGAAAATTTAAATAACAAGGGGCAAAATCATCTTTATAAAAAAGTTCAAACCAAATCGGACCAAACCCACAACAAAATGAACAGTTTGGACCTCTGGTGCTAGTCCAAACTTTTTTGGACCAAAGTGGCAATTTTGAGCAAACCACAGGACCATTTGTGCAGTTTAGTCTTTTCAAAATGTATGTATCTCTGGGTATTCAAAGTGGCCGGAAGAACACCTACCTGGTGTGAGAATGAAGGATTTGGTTTCGAAAATAAATAGTCGGCTCTATGGTAGCCTTTTGTCTCTTTTGTGCCTTGCAGGAACTTGTATTTCGCGTATAACGCTTATGGATTTATTAAACAATGGAGTTATATAAATCTTGGTATTATTTCAATATATGTTGTTTAATGTGATTCAATATGTTGAGTCTCAACCCCGACGTTTCCGTCGTTGGTCAGGGTGTGATAGATTGGTATCAGAGCTAACGACTATAGCGAATTAGTACTTTCCTTAAAAGAGCACAACTATAGTCTAAGGACTTACTCTAATAGCTCTAAGTATTCCTAAACCTATATCATCTTGCTAATGGACTTACCCCTATAAGTCTACAATGCAGTACGCGTAGATTCTCTCCCTAGAATTACGATTCTATAATCAGGATTATTCCTATAAACCTACAAGTAATATGTATAAATTAATAATATATAAACAAATTAAAAATTTAGAGAAATAATACAAAAGTTTAAAGGTCAAATAATCAATTAGGTTCTCTAGTACATAGGTCGTACCACAACTGAACCTAGTTGTGCACCTAAGTTTTATTATGGTAAGATTCTATGCACTATTGAAACTAATTGAATTAGTTGATTTCTTAAACGATTGGGAAAAATGTAAATATAATGAAAAATTAGCTTATAAACGCTTAAAACTATGTAAAATATCTGTAAAATATGTAGACATATATATATATATATATATATATATATATATATATATATATATATAATACTAAAGACAAATAAATTTCTTTATAGGAGGAATTGCCAACAGTGGAATGAGAACGAGCAAGAGGTGGACTTGCCATACCATCTGTCGGGGGATCCCTATTTCCCTACTCCACATGTCGAGAGGATGCTGATACTGATTGAGGATAGCGAGCCCGAGGAGGACCCTAGCGAGGATCCAGAGGAGATGGAACAGGATCCCGACGAGGACCGTAGAGAGGATCCAGAGGAGATGGAACATGAACCCGAAGAAGAAACGAAGTCTGAAGCATACGAGTCTGCAGGGGATGTGACCCTTATAAAAGCAGAACCTGTTGCATCACGACCACCTATCTCTTACTACCTTATCTCTTACTACCTTATCTCTTACTACCCGGGCTCAAGGATACCTCGTAATCGGAAACACGCACATAAGACCATTTCCATGTGTGGAGGCATTAAGAAGAAACCTAGGATGCGAGTTCCCAAATTTCAGAGTCTCACAGGGAACTTTCACCCATACCACATTGCCCCTGTCGAGCCTACATGGAACCTTGTGCCCCAAGTCTCTCGTGAAACATAAGAGAGGAGGATCCATGATCCCGCTTGGATAGCTGATGTAGTGAATGAATGGGCCAGAGATCAGGGGGGACCCATCAGTTTGAGGCAGGGCAATATTCGGGGACAAAACCCCCAACCACCACTGAGGAGGATATTTTGTCGCTCTTGTTTAACCATACCATGCAGCTGGGCCACATGGTTGAGTCTATGGGTGACGAGATGTATACTATCGGAGGCAACGATGTCCTACGAGCCAGACAGATAGAGGAGATGAGAGCTCATGGGGGACGAGACCAAGAGGACATGAAGAGAGATTGAGCCAGAACTCAGTTTATGTATGACTTTATGGTTACTGAGGAGATTCGTAGGCTGGAGATTGAGGGACAGATCTAGGCGGCTCTAGAATGGGCCGTCGAGGCGGACGCTAGAGCTAGAGGAGTGGCGGAACATCTAGGGACTGTGGAGGAACAGATCCAAGAGATCTTGCATATGTTGTCCCGCAACTTTGGTTTGGGATAGTCTGGTTTGAAGCGAAGGTCGGTTAGTGAAGGCTTTTGGGCAAGTCATGGGTGATTGCCAATTTTGATATAAAGATTCGGATATGTAATAGGAAAATAGGTCGCTTAGTGACCCTCAGATAATATAAATTATGAGGTAAGGGGGAAGGGATAGCAGGGATTCTTTGAAGTCTTGCAAATTTTCATGTTATTGAATTGTTGTAGACATGTTAAAGTTGTCGTCCTTAGCATGTAGTTATTTTGTTGTAATGTAAATGAATGTAAACCACTAGAACAGTATGTGAATATAATGAAGCATATATTATTATTATATTTTGTGTTGTATTATTGTGCCAATTGTTTGATTGCATTTCGAAAATAATTGTAACCTATTGTAAATAATTGAAAATATGAACGATGAAACGCTTAGAATCGAAATGATCAAATAGATCAACACCATGCCACCAAGAAAGAAGAGCGAACGATTGAAAAAGCGACCCCAATCCGTAAGGTTGGAAGCAACGGTTCCACCCACAACATCTCGACCCAAGAGAGGCTGACCCAACATGAGGCCAACAGAAATTCTGGTTATTGAAATGCCCACTAGCGATGCACCACCACCATCAACACCTCCCAAGGCAGGAATCCCTCAAACAACAGCGGAGTTGGAGCAACTAATCTCAAACCGCCTTGTGATCGCTATGGCAAACACATGGAGCGCAAACGCAAGAACTCCCATCGTAGAAATTGAAGAACTCGAGACTAGGCTAGGAAGTAGTTCAAACATTAACCTAAGGGAAACTTGAAGGGTCTGCACCTATAAGGACTTCATGACCTGCAAGCCCAAGTACTGTTATGGAAATGAAGGTGTAATCGGTCTTACCAGGTGGTTCGAAAGGATGGAGTCTTTATTTCAGATCAGTTACTGCGCTGAAGACAGCAATGTGCGCTTTGCTGCCTGTACTTTCATGGATGCATCACTGTCTTGGTCGAATGAACAAGTTAAGACACTGGGCATCATCCCTTCCAACTCCTTGTCTTGGGGAGAAATGAAAACCTTGCTGATAGAAGAGTACTGTCCCAAAGACGAAATTCAAAATCTGGAAAACGAGCTATAGAACCTAGAGATGAAAGGCTCAGACATTAAAGCCTACACAACCAGATTTAATGACCTTGTTCTATAGTGCCCATTATTGCTAACCCTGAAACATGTGAAGATTGAATGCTATATTTGGGGCATGTCTCCCAATATTAAGGGTATGGTCATGTCTTCAAGACCTACAATCTTTGAGAGCGTTAAGAATATGGCCAAACGACTGAATAACAATGGAGTCAGTCGGGGAAACATAGAAGCCAGAGTTGAAACCCCAAAGTCTGAACCAAACAAGAAAAAAAAATTCTAAAGGAAAACCAATTCCATACAAGAAACCAAGAAGGTCTATACGACAACTCCAATAGTAACAACAACACTTGTACCACAAAGGAACCATGTAAACAAATACCCAAAGTGTAACATTTGTGATAGAAACCACCTTGGAGAGTGTTACCATTGCACCCGGTGCAACAGGAAGAGCATACTATAAACTTCTGTAGGAACCTTACGAGCAAAGGAGGAAATCAAAATTTTGGAACCAGATCTGGCAATGGGGAAAAAAGAGTATGTTATGAGTGTGGAGAGAAAGGTCACCTCACACAAAACTGCCCGAAAATGAAGAACAAAGGTGGAAATGCTCGTGGGAGAGCATTTGTGATAGGGAACAGGGACGCTATTCAGGATCTGTCTGTGGTGTCTGGTACGTTCCTTATCAGTAACTTGTATGCTACAATACTTTTGACTCTCGTGCCGATAAAAGTTTTATAACTCCGTCTTTTCAACAACTTTTAAATCACGACTCTAGTAAATTAGAAGCAACATATGAAGTAGAAGTAGCAAACGGCCAGATAGAAAGCATTACTAAAATCCTAAGGGATTGCTTGTTAACCCTAAACGACCACACTTTCCATATAGATCTCATGACTATTCCTATAGGAAGTTTCGACATTATCATAGGAATGGATTGGCTTGCTCCTCACCACACTGAGATTTTGTGCTATGAGAAGGTCGTACGATTAACCTTACGCAACGGAGAAATCATGACCATTTACGGGGATAAGTCTGGACAAAACCTTAAACTAATTTCTTGCACAAAGGCACAAAAATATCTACATAAGAATTGTTACGCCTTTCTGGCTCACATAGTGGATACGAAGAGTGAAACAAAAGAATTAAAGGACATACCATAGGTATGTGATTTTCCCGGTGTTTTTCCCAATGATCTATCTGGATTACCCCCAAACCGGCAAGTCGAGTTTAGAATCGACCTAATCCCAGGCGCCATACCACTAGCTAAGTCACCCTACAGATTGGCTCCCTCCGAGATGCAAGAACTTTCAAGCCAGTTGCAGGAACTTATGGACAAGGGTTTCATAAAACCAAGTTTCTCACCGTGGGGAGCCCCAGTCCTGTTCGTCAAGAAGAAGGATGGATCATTCTGAATGTGTATCGATTACTGAGAACTAAATAATTTGACGATAAATAATCGATACCCACTCCCTAGAATCGATGATTGATTTGATCAGCTGCAAGGGTCTAGCTACTACTCCAAGATTGACCTGAGGTCTGGATATCATCAACTCAAGGTATTGGAAGCAGATATACCAAAGACCACATTTAGAACTCGGTGTGGTCACTACGAGTTTCTTGTCATGCCCTTCGGCCTAACGAATGCCCCAGTAGTGTTCATGGATCTCATGAACCGTGTTTGCAAGCCTTACTTGGATAAGTTCGTGATTGCATTCATTGACGACATCTTGATATACTCACAAACAAAGGAGGAACACGACTAACATTTACGATTAATTTTGGAACTGTTGAGAAAGGAGAAGTTGTATGTCAAGTTTTCCAAATGTGAATTTTGGATAAAAGAAGTGCATTTCTTAGGGCATGTCGTTAGAAATAAAGGAATACATATGGATCCCACAAAATTGAAGCAATCAATAATTGGGAGGCACTAAGGACGCCAACTGAAGTGCGCAAATTTCTAGGCCTTTTTGGCTACTATCGGAGGTTTATTGAAAATTTCTCCAAAACAGCCAAACCTCTCACTGCACTAACACATAAGGATGTGAAGTTCAACTGAGAAGACAAGTAGGAAGCTGAATTCTAGAAATTAAAACATATGTTGTGCAGTGCACCGATCCTGTCATTCCCTAATGGAACAGAAGATTTTGTCGTCTACTGTGACGCATCTCATCAAGGACTGGCTTGTGTATTAATGCAGAAAGGCAAGGTGATTTCTTACGCTTCGCGACAACTAAAATGCACGAGGTTAACTACACTACTCATGACCTTGAGCTAGGAGTTGTGGTATTCGACCTAAAGATCTGGAGACACTACTTGTATGGTACCAAATGTATAATTTTTATAGATCAAAAGAGCCTACAACATATCTTCGATCAAAAAGAACTCAATATGAGACAATGAAGATGGGTCGAACTACTAAATGATTACGACTGTGAAATTCATTATCATCCGGGAAAGGCTAACATAGTGGCGAACGCTCTGAGTCATAAACAACATGTCAAACCTAGGCGTGTACGTGCACTGACCATGACCATTCATTCCAATCAAAGTATGCAAATACGAGAAGCTCAACTCGAAGTTGTAAAAGAAGAAAACATCACAAACGAAGCCCTGCGAGGAATGGATAAACCCGGGCTTAAGGATGACGGGACGCGATATTTCATGGACCGAATCTGGACACCCAAGTTCGGAGAAATCAGGAGTATAGTCATGGACAATGCTCACAAAACAAGATATTATGTCCATCCCGGCTCTGACAAGATGTACCGGGATCTAAAGAGGTATTGGTGGCCGAACATGAATGCAGAAATTGCTACGTACATAAGCAAGTGCTTGACCTGCTCAAAGGTCATGGTCGAGTATCAAAAGCCCTTAGGATTACTCCAAAAACTGGAGATACCAGAGTGGAAATGGGAAATGATCACTATGGACTTTATCACTAAACTGCCCAGAACACTGAGTGGTTTTGACACTATTTTGGTAGTTGTGGATAGATTGACCAAGTCCACCCATTTACTACCAATCAAAGAGACGGATAAGCTGAAAATCTGACTTAAACCTACCTTAAGAAAATCGTCAAACTTCACGGGGTGCTAATCTCTATCATTTCTGACAGAGACAGTAGATTCACCTCACGATTTTGGCAGTCCCTACAAAAGTCCTTGGTTACGCGTTTAGACATGAGTATGGCTTATCACCTTGATGGTCAGAGTGAACGAACCACCCAAACCCTAGAAGATATGCTCTGATCCTGCGTATTAGAATTCGGAAACTCATGGGATATTCATTTACCCTTGATTGAGTTTTCTTATAACAACAACTATCACTCCAGCATAAAATTCGCACCATTTGAGGCTTTATACGAAAGGAAATGTCGTTCACCATTATGTTGGGCAGAGGTTGGAGATACTCAATTGGCCAGAAAACTTTATGGAGATACTTTATGGACCGGACCTGAAATAATCCACGAGATGATTGAGAAGATCGTGAAAATCAAAGAGCGATTGAAAACTACGCGTAGTCGTTAGGAAAATTATGCGGACGTAAGGCGTAAGCCTTTGGAATTCCAGGTGCGAGACAGAGTTATGTTAAAGGTTTCACCTTAGAAAGGAATGATTAGGTTTGGAAAGAGGGGTAAACTAAAACCACGATACATAGGGCCCTTTGACATTCTTTAAAGATTTGGCCTTGTGGCTTGC